TTGGTCTATACATGTTTGACGGTATTCCTTTTCCTGGATATGACAAATGTGTCCCTCCTCTTACTGGCTGTCTATATCTGGAGGGTCTGTGAGCATACATCAGCTGTTGACTTCTCATTGGTGTCATGTAAACTGGTCGTCTAGGCCTACCTTTGTATACTTGCGACTTAATCCTAATTCTTCCCATGGGTCTTCTTGGATAAACTGCCCTTCCTGCAGCCATCATAGGAGGATGTATTTCTTCTAGGTATTGTCCCAAATTGTTAGGCCTTGCGTTACGGGCTGGTTCTATTGGGATAATTCCTACAGTGCTTCCATTGGGACCCAACCCCGGAGCTCCGGGAAGTTTGCCTGTCGTGAGTATATTGTGTAGTTGATTCGTGTTGAACCCTGGGACAATGGGGTACCGAGTGTGGGGAAGAACCATTACTCCTCCTCGTAAAGGGATTCCTCTTCCAGCCTTGAAGTCATGATTGAAACCTCTTGTAGCTCCTGGTCCAGCTAGAGGGTCCTTCGTAATGTACCTAGCTTGGATGTCCTCATCACTTAGACCAATAGGTAAATTGTGTGGAACGTTAGACGATGTTGGCTGTAAAACAACAATCTTGGTTTTTTCAATGACGTCATCACCACTATTTTCCTTTTCTCTGTCGTCCTCTTGTTCTTCTTCCCTGACATCTTCCTCTTCTGAATGGCCTTCTGGTGGAACATCTTCTCCACTATCCACACTGCTTTCTTCCTCATGAGTTTGTCTCGATTCATTACTCCCCCTTGAAGTATCTCGTTCTTCTTCATCGGACCCTTTGTCTTCCTGTCTACTCTTCACGTACTCATAATCAGAGTCGTAATCATGATCTTTATCAAGAATCTGAAAGTTGCTTGTAGGGTCGTTTGGATTGCCTGAACTATAATCCCGAACTGATCCACCCAGAAGTATTTGCTGGTTAAAACCTTGATCGTTGCCCCATCTACGTTGACTTGGAGGAATCACAGGACCTTTGAAATTTGAAAATCTATTTTGCTCTTTCCTTTTCTTTTTAGAATGTTCAGATTGAACTTCAACATCAACCCCCAATCTAGAATTTATTTGATCAGAGTTATTGAAAATAGACCTTATTTCAATTGGGGTATAACTATTCGAAAGCCCCATTCTTCCCATATTAACATCAATAGGTGATTCTATAAAGTAATTCCTCTTCTTTCTCATGAGTTCATGCTTGAAATTCAATCCACTAACATTTTGTGGTATTGAAAGATTAGGCATTTTCAACTCTTGAACTAATACCTGATCTCCTACAGCTTTATCCTTAGTCTTCAATTGCTGGAGAGCTGAGGTGTTTATGTCAGTATTCCTCTTCTTCCTCCTCCCCCTTGTTTGGTTACCTAGCAACCCTTGATCCTGGAACCATCTCTTGAGACGCTGGATGTACAACACAGGAGATTCTGCGGCTATGTCGATGATCTTGCTGGTTCCTGGTTTCTTCACTGAGCTTTTGCCGAGCTTGTTTAGGTCACTGATGGTTTGGTCGACCAGGTGGTCCAATCCTGGCACAGAACACCCTGACGTCCCGTTGCAGACGACAACAATCTCCTCCAGTGATACTGTAGTCTGCCCTGGCTTTGAAACATTCTACAAACAATTTAATACATAATCATGAGAATGAAAATGTTCAGAAAGTTCTATAAATGAAAAAATATGTTTTAAACAAGTAAGAAATATTTGAAATGCGACCAAGATTTAATTTACATTTTGTAATTTTTACAATTTCTATTTTCAAAAATAATGTTTGTTTTAAGTGTGTGAGTTACCTACTCAACTAAAAAATCATTTGAAATTCTGTCATTGATATTTGATTGAAATAATAATACTTTTTAATAACAGTATTAATCAAATAACATATATTTACCTCAATTCTGTACAAAACCAGTCATAAATGTACAGTAAAGAACTACTTTTCTACATTATGCAGCATGGACACTGAATTTATGAATTGCTACAGTGCTAAATTTTGACAGTGCAAGTGAACTTCTCGTCCTATTGTAGAATCTGAAGGCTATTTTGGTGTGATTCTGGTTGTTAGGTTTGACAGAGCTGATATAAATTTATAATAATGTATCTTTATTTTTGAGAGGAATATTTTATAGTGTGTGCTACTATTTTGCTATAATATCAAAGTCAAAGCATAAGCAATATCGTGTACAATTTTACAGCAACAACTTAAATTAATTACCATAAACATTACATAGTTTATTTGTCTTCAGCTGATACATAAGTATGAGAGTTTAATAGTTTAATCTAACAGTTCTACGGTTCTAAATATTTTTGGGGTAAGCAAAAATATATGAAAATAAATGACCAATATTCATTGGAAATTGTATGAAATATAATCTTAAACTATTTAGATTAATTACTACATCAGAGCCACAAAAAAAACCTTCAATTATTGTAAATATTGTAATGCTTCATATATACAAATACTCTGTAGTTACCCTTACACAACAGTAAACACATATCATGTCATAGCTTGTCATAAAATGAAAACATGGTTTTCCACTTCTGATATCCTAACAGAAAGCAATTAAAAAAAGTGAATGGAGTGGCAATATTTGAGAGATAAAGTAAAACATGTCTGTAAATAATTATTTATATGACATTTTCCTAACAGTTACTATTGGGTTTTGTTTCTTAAATAAATGGTAGATAAGTATCTTCTTATTACGGTAGTTTTAAAGATCCATATTTTTTCTCTTCTGTGTTTGCTTCTCTTATAGAGGTCAGGCAAAGCAATAGTAAAGTAAAATGAATGGTGATACTTATTTCTCAGAGATAATATTTACACAACTTATCTTGGACTAAAATCAATTTAGCATAAACTACTGTGCTTCATAAAAGTCTTACTTTCTAGACAAGCCAAAGGTGCAAACAAACTACACAAAGACAAAGCTGCAGGATATTTTATTAATCACAAGTATAACCTCTCCAACCATACAATACAATCTAAACTACATTATTTTCTCAATACTAACCTAAAATATACACTTATACAACTTAAAATATAAAATATATTTTTTATAAAACTATTTTTATTTTGTAAATGAAATATTACAAATGTGTTTTTGAAAAAGTGATAAAGTAACATTCTTCTAAGGGGTTTATGTTTTAAGAAACAGTTTTGGAATTTGTAAAATGTTTTTAGAATAACTTAATTTTTGGTTAAATAAAATGGTACGGAAAACACAAAAATGTAATTTAGTATTATTTTGGGTAACTAATAGAAATTTACCAGTAGATATTAATTTTTACAACTAAAATAAAATATAACATCGTTAATACTGCATACTTTTTTACAACTAACTAAAATTAAATTACATATCAATATGAGCTTATAAAATATCGAGGTCAAGAAATATGTATACAATCTTAGTCTACTTTTGGCACGACATTTGAATTGATGGCGAGACCAAATTAATATTGCATTTGTTTTTGTACTTCGTATTTTTGTATGATTATTACCTAGTCTTATAAATTATTCTTGTTTAATGGCTGTTACTCCAAGAGCAATCAATGAAAACGTATACTTTGTGAATTAGAAAATATTTGAACAAGAAGTCAAAAATTGATTGAATGATTAACTATCCATTTTTACATAAAGAAATATTTTAAAAGTGAATGTGCAGAAATGGCGGATTATTTATGAAAATAAACTATGAAATTAACTATAGGTCCTTTGATATTTTAACGATTAGTCCTTTATTAGTTGTTAAATCAGTTTAAAATAATGTAACAGTATGATTGTAGAGCATTACACTCATTATCTCAAAGATTTTAAGATTTTTAAGTCTGTTGAGTATTAAAGTTTATTGGATATTTTCATTAGTAGGGCAATTGTTAATAATTGGTATTGGCTACTTGGCAAGTTTTTTTATAAATAAATCAAATAATTTTTAATGTATACAAATTAGAGGTAAATTAAAATTATTATGCCACTATTTTTGATTACTTTAGTTGTGGTAACTGATTATTATATCATCAATTGATAAATACATATAATATATTATGCGCAATAAAAAAAAATAAACAAACCTTTTTGGGTACTTAATCTAACATTGGCAATCCATGATAGCAAATGGTAATATTTGTACAAATCCATACAATCTTTCTACAGATTTGTGAAAAAAAATGATCAAACTCAATAAAATGTAATAAAACATTGCTGTACACAGTACAAATATTATTTTATAATACAAAGTATGCTTTGTAAACTAATATCTTAAAATTAAACTAAATGAAACATAAATACAATTTAGGTAACAATTTTCAAAGAAGCTTTGATCAAAGCCTGAAAATGTTTTGAATGTTTGCTCCTTGGTAACTACTTGACTTGTATGAGGCAATGATCAATATACATGATGGCGGTGTGTCTAAATCATACCAGGGTGTCTGAAGAAAAGTCGGATTTTGTTTTCTGTATACATAACTCACTTGATCTTACACACTGTTAGGTATGTGCTCAGGACTTTTTTTGTCAATTTTGATTCAATTATGAACTGTTTGTATGGTAAGTGAAACTACATGGTTATAAAGACTTTACAAAAACTAGTGTTTTTTTTAAATATTTTATGTACAGTAAAGTGAACTGCAGACAATTTTCAAATGTTATTTTAATTGATTTTGCATGTTTATGCTTTAAATCATTATGTTTAACATAATTTTTTTTTAGTTCAAGCAATCTTTCTCAGCGTTGACCTTTTTTCAGTTTAATGTAATTGTTTTACCTAGGCCTTAGCCTACTTATTTTGCCAAAACACTAATGTGTTGTAATCAGTTGACTTTTTACATTTACCATTGTTTTACAAATAATTTGCCCTCCCAAAATCTTTTCATAGTAATATGAAAGATTAGCAAGAACAGTTGAAGATTGAATTACCAGTCAAAGGAAAACAAATCTGAATACCCTACTCAAATCACTAACACAAACTGAAAGACTACGTTGTTTTGATTGACAAATCAGATTTTCCTTCAGACAGGCTGGACATGTCTAGCGTCTACAGGTGTATGTACATCATTTGTTGAGCAGGGGGGCGAAGTCTTCCGCAAAGTTACTCACGTAATGTGCAGGGTTGGGGAACTCTGCCCACTTGGTGAGGTCTATGGAGGGGATGATACCAGCCTTGCAGGGCACTCGGGGGTTGCTGAGGGTGAAAGTAGTTAGTAGTTGGACAAATAAAATACAAAAATATTCCAATTCATAGATTCATAGATGTCCAATTTCATTAATATTGTCCTACCAGAGCTTTCGATCTTTTGTGTCAAAAGCATGTAACTTATTTAGACTATTATTAAAAAAATAACATTTAGATGCACATAAGTATTTTCTAATTCCTCCAGCAATTATTATATTTTGAAAACAAATTATTAACTAAACATTATGAAATGTTTGTGGTTAAACAACAATATGATGTTACGTTAACATACCTATTTTGATGTTTCACTAACAAGTAGGCTTTGTTTTGATAACGAATTGTGTTTTTTTAATCCCACATCAGATAAATGCATTGTTTGTATTGTGTAACACTATTTTTGCTTTTTGCAACTCTTTTGTCAAACATTTTATTGGATGATGTTATGTTGAGGAAATGTGCTAAGTGTAGTAGTTTGTTTTATGAATTTTTGTAAAAAATATATTTTGTATGAATTTAGTTATCACCTTTTTTGTTGCATCTATTCTTGAGTTGTAATTTATATTACTCTACGTAAATTTTGCCAGCTTCGGGAGTTCCTCTTAAACTATCACACCTCTAACACTATAGTCTATACAAATTACAAATTATTTTGTATAGTGATTTCTGTAGTGTTAATCATACTAACGATAGAAAAGATCATCTGAAGATAACACACAAGCTGGTGAAATGTACATAGGTAACATACAACTAAAACTGAAGAACAGAGGCAAGAAAAAAGGCAATAAATACCTACTGTTAACAATTCAAACTCTTGAACTTGGTATAACTCCAAAGAAGTATATCTTTATATTATAAATTTAGCAGAAAGAAACAGCTCTAAACTAAACTTTAGAATAAACGGTGATAACATGTATTCCAATCATAAACAAATGTTGCAGCATATGCATCTCGATCTGAGACTGAATCTTTATTCTTACGCAATCATAAAAGCTGGACAGTTGCAGTAAAGTTATGAACTAAAAGCTTACCACCCTATCTATTGTTATCATGAATTTCTACCTCTTGTTTTATTGATTATATTATGTTATGGCTTTTAGGAGTGGGGATCTACTACAAAGGCAGTTATCCTCAAGAAGGAGAAACATTTTAAACTGGTTAAGTGGACACACAGCTTGTATTGTATTGTATTGCATTGTATTGTATGGAATTGTATTGCATTTTATTGTACAATACAACCAACAGCTTAGTTTTGTTCTGAAACCCCAGAGTACATTGCTAAAATTCATTGGTGATTGCTAGGATTTGAACCCAGACCCACAGAACCCTTCCCACTATAGATTAGATCCTTGTAGACTAATTACTCACATTTGATGATCAGGAAGCACCATGGGGTATATCTGGATTGTGTCTATCAGATCTGTGTTGTCACATAGAACGCGGGATAACTTGATCTTGCGGATCTCCTGAAGTTGTTCTGGAACCAGAAAAAGATATTTAAGCTGATAGTAACTTTTAGTTGAAACACAAATCAAAATTTTCCAGAGAGAATTACATTGACTAACCCATCAAGTTAATGAACATAGTTTGCATATTTTGCTCGTCCACAAAATTTAAACTAAAAAACAGCAATTATGACTCATCTTCCGACTTCACTGAATGTTTCCTCTTATGTGAACTGGTTTAATTCCTTGATGACTTTTTAATCGTGAAAAATTGTTATTGAATGTTTTTATAAACACAATTTGTACGATGTTCATGTCATGATTGACTCTTAGAAGTCCGGAACCATAGTAGTGTACTAATAAATTTCGAGCACTCGATAGCACAGAGATAAATAAAACATTTACAATAAAAACAGCTGATTTTAATATAAACAATCTAGAAGATCAGCTGATTATTCCTTATATCCCAACCAAAAAAGTTATTCATTTATTTTAATTTGTAGATTAGAAATGAATTTAATATTTGTTTTGTATTATTGACACTATCACACAATATCGTATTCAATTTTATTTGTGTTGATGAATTAGACATCATTGTTTTACTCACCAGGTGTGAAGGATGAAGGCTGGTTGGGTAGTTCGTACCAGAAGCGATCTCCTCGTCTAATGAAGCTGAGTTGAGTAGCGATGATGCAAGCGAATGTAGGACCAAGCATAGACCCAGGCAGAGGTCTCTCAGATACTCCACCGGACCAGAGGTCTATGTCGTTGGGGTGACTGTCATCAAGGAAGACATTAGACAAATCTTACCAGAGGTCTATGTCGTTGGGGTGGCTGTCATCAAGGAAGACATTAGACAAATCTTACCAGAGGTCTATGTCGTTGGGGTGGCTGTCATCAAGGAAGACATTAGACAAATCTTATCAGAGGTCTATGTCGTTGGGGTGGCTGTCATCAAGGAAGACATTAGACAAATCTTACCAGAGGTCTATGTCGTTGGGGTGGCTGTCATCAAGGAAGACATTAGACAAATCTTATCAGAGGTCTATGTCGTTGGGGTGGCTGTCGTCAAGGAAGACATTAGACAAATCTTACCAGAGGTCTATGTCGTTGGGGTGGCTGTCATCAAGGAAGACATTAGACAAATCTTACCAGAGGTCTATGTCGTTGGGGTGGCTGTCATCAAGGAAGACATTAGACAAATCTTTGAGTCAAGTTGATCATTTCGTACTTTCAGTAAACACCTACGTCATTAAGTTGCATAAGCTTATCTTTAACCAAGAATTGAACAATAACTTATTTAAAATAGTCTTGTTGTAACAATGAAATTAAACCTGGATACACATTTGATTCTACTTGTTTAGAATTGAAAATGATTGAGTCTGATTGATAACTAAAATAATTACAAGACTTGTAGACGTAGATCAATAATATTGTCTTAAGACAAAGAAAAATCAATGTTAAAAAAATATATGTTTGAAATTTCAAGAGAAGCTTACTCAAATATAGATGCATATCTGTAGACAGTGGAGTTCGGCATGCTGCCAAAAAGTTCTTCAAATGAATCTGCTGTGGGCAGTCCACAGAATTTCCTGTAAAAAGAAAGATTTGGTTGACAAACTCAACAAAACAAAGTAAACGCTTTATCTAAGTAACAAAGTTAACTTAAAATACTTAAAGTCTTTTTATTAGGAAACAAATGGTCCATAGGGTAAATTCAATTTTTGTTTCTGTTTGTGTTGCACTTGTAAAAGGCTTAGGATAAGCATAGTACCATACACACTGTGATATAAATAGCTTAATTTTGTTGTTACCCTTTACAATTTAACAATACAGTTTACAATAACTAGGAAGTAAACTCTGCAAATACCTCAACAAACATATCTAGTTTAACAAATTCTAAAAAAGATAACTATAGATCCTAGACTACAGACAGATTACTTATAAGTTTCAAGTTTGAGTCTATCTCTGGCAGATACAAATGTGAATGTTTGATTATTCCGTTTTTTTTAATGTTTTTAATTTTTTACATTTGAGTTGATAAGTGAGCAATGGGGGAATCTTCACATTTACAATCTGGACAACGTTTAGTCAACCTGAATGTCCATATCAAACTAGTATCAACTGATTGCAACATGCAAAGAAGCATGCAAAGGAAGCTAAGAGAAATACTTGTTCCTTAGCTTATTTATATACAAAAGTTAAAGGGGAATTTACAATAATAAAACAAGTGAAAAATAAGAAAATGTTTGTATTCAAACCTTTTTTATAAAAAAAATCACAAGACAAAAATGTCTTAATAAATGTAAAATTAAAACTGATGAGAATCCTATAATTTCCAAAACAGTTTTTATCAATTTTCATTATTGTTATCAACGGTACCAGGTATCAGTATTACTTTTTTGTCCAAACAGTATTTTTATTTTATGTTTTTGTCTAGTTTATATACAAAGTTTTCACTCGTGTACATTACCTGTATTGCATGTAGCCAGGAACCCCAAACTCTCGCCCTCTCTGCATGTTAAAGGCTACAAGATCCAGTCCAAATCTGTTTCCAGGTTTCTTCAGCAAGTGGTTTGTTACCTTAAAAATTTATTAGATTTATTAATTTATTAAAAAAGTTATTAGATCTGTAATGGATCTATCCCTACCACAGCACACCTGCAGACTATGTGAATTTCAATTTGTCTGATTGGATATTGACTCAAATATTTCCATAAAAATTTTGAGTCGCTAGAAGACTGCCCCCCAGAATATTACCCACTCAAGCAGGGTGGGATTTTGTGACGTCACGTCTCGTCTCACTAGCTCACTCGGACGGTTCAGAAAACGATACAAAAATAATAGGGTATTCTCAGTAACCTGTTACCAAGGTAATAGGTGAATCTTCAGTAATAGTGTTATTTACCCTATTACGTTATACAGTATAACGCCCACCAATACTTGTAATATTGTGTTATAATTACCACATAATGTGATTTTAGTGTCATCACAAGTTTGAAGTGTTTTTAACGGGTTTTTAACTTTTTTGTAGTGTTAAATATACATTTTAAAATAAAATTTTAAATAACTACAATAATATCATAGATGCAAGATTTTTGTAACAACATTTTTCCAAGCAGATTAATTTTGTAATACAATGCTGTTCAAAGCATGTTTTTGTCGTGTCATGTTTACGAGATACGAGCATTGTTGTAGAACGCACCTCCGCGCTACTTCCCTCCTACCACCAAAGTTGTCACCTACTCAGAGGGTGACAAAGTCGGTTTTTGTAATCTCCAAGATGCCCCCAACAACAATCAAAAGTAAAAAAGTGTTACACTTTCAGTGCATACTCAACCCCAGATGCTGGACTATGGTTTTAAATTTATCAAGCAAGACAGATAATTCTTCTTGTAGATGGAGGGGGAATGTCATATACTATGAACCACATAGTCGTAGCCCTTTTATACCTCATGACGGATTGTCAATTCAGGGTATGAAAAAATGGACTTTAATAACATGGATCTAGATGTGCGGAGAGGAGAACTCCAGGGTAAGGTGATAGTTTCGATCATACATAATTTAGAAGGTCCAGCTTTGTACACAAACAATTTTACAAATAAAATTGTCCTTGGTGCCTGACTCCTCAGCCAAACTTAACATTAAAATATCTCATCACTTTGATTTTGTCTAATTGAGTATCTTGGCCTACCTCCTGTGTGATAGAGTCGTCCATGGCCTGGGCAACCTGGTTCATCAGACCCATGAGGTACTCATCCATCACACCAGCTCTGTAGAGGTCGTAGGGTCGCCTGATCAGATCTGACAGTCTCTTGGAGGCTGTCAACACAATCAAATTAAGCAAATATAACTAAGAATATGAAGCTTGTGCGAGTTTCTGAGTATTTTGGATGCTACAACCTTAAAAGATTCCTCTGAACCCCCCCCCCCTTCACCTGAATATGAATGTGAATTGTATCAGGCATTGCAGGTGAGCCAGCACTATATATGCGTCAAGACATGGCCTTTTTTGCAGTGAAATTGCAGTGGGTTTTGCTGTCACACCATCATTTGACAAAAGCAAGCTAGACTAATATATAGGACAAAGGATAAAATCATTACAATACAAAAATATTTGGTGCTTATTAAAATAACAAACAATATTAGTACTCCCATGCTCTGAAATAGTTAATTTATTCTAACCAGTCCATCATTACGATTGCTTAAAAGCTAGAAGCTAATTAGTTTATCAATTTTTTAACTCACAGATAAACTTGTGTGCCTTGCTCCATCTCTCAACCGCGGTTGGCAGCAGTGAGTGTCCAAATCTAAAGGCAGCTGCGGAGAATGCTGCGATGATGTTAGGATTGACATTGGGGTCGTAACCATCCCAGTAGCCCTATGTAAGATCATTAGATAAAGTGACTTTTTAAGGCAAAAAAAGTTAATTTGAGATTTAAGAAGCTTAAAATTAAAACAATGAAAAAGTTTTAAATCTTGTTCATAATCTACATGGAGAATTTATTGTAATTTGTAATAATGCTGATTGTAATTGATAAGTGTAATTGATGCTGAAATAGTCACAGGCCTACAGTTTGCACGTGATGCATCATGGGCCTCTAAAGATAATTGTGTCCCTCTCCGCCAGCATTGTGGGGGGATTTTTCTCTTCATTGTGCCATCAACAAACCTAAAATCTCAGGCTCCCCTGGGCCAAGGCCCATCCAACGGAGCCCATTTTTATTAAAGGGATCTTGAATTTAGGTACACCTCATCTAGATAATCAGATGTAGCTAGCTGTAAAGTTATGGAAGGAATCATACTGACATTGACCATATTCTATGTCCCTTTTAATAGGAATATAGTTCCTGAAGGAAGAGTTCATGGTATCCCTGATTTTTGCATTAGTAATTATTATTTAACAAAAATTAAAAAAAATGTTGTGCATTCTGGCTCTTTTACAAACTTTTGAATTATGTACCATTAAAAAATAATTATGAATAATTCAGCCATTTCAAATATTTTAAAACTCGTTAGTAAATAGTTTGGCTGTAAACAGGTTTGTTTAGTTTAAAATAGAGGAACTTTAAATGAAAATTTATAATGTTCTCAATACTGTATTCATTATTTGTTTTACTCTACACTATCATTTTGTTATTTTAAAACGTTTGTGTAAAGTTGTTTTATTGTATGGTATAGTTACATAACTTCATAAATCTACCCTCTTGTCTCAGAAGCAACCCCCTGAAGCTATTGTTGATTGTTTCCTCTAATTAACAACAGGATCTGATAATAAGCCACACTGTTTGTAGATACCTCATAGTCTCACCATGCAAAACTAACAGTCTAATGAGAAACATTTCTTCTTTTATTTTAAGTAGATTTATCACATTTTTTTACAGGGATATTATTCTTATTAGTTAGTATACTGATATATAGGGTGTCCCACGAAGGGGTTTAAACGTTTGATTTTATATTACGCGCCCATTCATGCACCGAACTTTTTTAAACTTTACACAGTTTACAAAGTAGGTTCTAAAAATATTCTGGAAAAATTTCAACTCCCTAACCTTAGTAGAAACAAAATGGCGGCATATTGAAAAACAATACTTTAAAAACATTAAAAAGGTATTTTTGGTTTTATAAAATATTTTTATTGTTACTTTCCAGGGCAATATGACTTTTAAATAAAAAAAAAATAGAACATAGCCTAATGGAAAACTATAAATAAATCAAATATCTAATAAATAATAATAATAAATAAATAACTAATAATAATTATGAAAGTAGTTTTTATAGAAAGCACATAGGTAAGTTTGTCAATATGCCACCATTTTCTTTCTACTAAGGTTAGGGAGTTGAAATTTTTCCAGAATATTTTTCGAGCCTACTTTGTAAACTGTGTAAAGTTTGAAAAAGTTCGGTGCATGAATGGGCGCGTAATATAAAATCAAACGTTTAAACCCCTTCGTGGGAGGTATATTGTAGTAGTAATAGTATTGACACACTCTATCAACTCCCTTATTGAAAATTATAATATGATAAAGATATAATTGCACTGTAAATATAATACCTGTGCTTCATTTAAGTGGAAAATTTTACTAAAGAGGGTTATAATGAACGTTTTAAGGTGTTTGGTACATTGGGTTGTGTTCTGTGTATCCTTACCTCCTTTTGTGGCATGAGACCAAACTTCTCCATGACGTCTTTACCAAGGATGATGGGAAGGAACTCGTTGTACGTAATGTGCTGAATCTCGGCAATCACAATGCGACGGGCCTCCTGTTGGTGATCAATAGAGAAGGTTATACAAAATGAATTTAAGAGTTCAGTGCTGAACTGAATTCTCCAAACAGTAATTGTCCACGATTGTTCTATTGCATAAAGATCCAAATTGATAGAGATAGACATATATTTATCGTGAATCAATGAGGCTGACCAAGAGTGCCTACACAAAGTCAAGATAGGCTACTTACTTGCTTATGAGAGTCGAAAGCACCTTTTTAGAAATTGGGCGATCAAAATCTATAGCCAATCTTTTATATAATCTTTTCTTCTTATGGGTATTTACAGTAAATGTATGGAATAGTGTTGGAAGATGTATTTGATCATATCTGTAGAACAGCATCATCAAGTAAGTTTATAATAAGTTCAATCAAGAAGATACAATGAAGTGCAACCAATAAGTTATTTATTTCATGAATGCTAAGTGTTGGTTCACCTGGTAGAGAGTCTCGTCGTCCCAATGAGGGTTGATCTCAGCCAATGCCTTGGCAATTCTGTTGTGCTCTCTAGCCATCAATGTGTGCATGCATGTCAGGACTAACTGCTCATTCACTCGGATCTCACCTGTATAACATGTATGAATGTTAAAATTTTATATAGTCGCTTGGGTTATGAAATATGGGTTTTTATCTCATGACACAAAAAAAAAAAAAAAAAAAAAAAAACAACTGGGCACTATTTATGGAAACACTATAGAGAATTTAGTACTTACCAGTATTGTTATGGACTCTTTTTTCTAGATTTGAACAAAGGCTTAAAAGCATAGTCCTTTCAACCAGGAGAAAACTTGATGGGACGGAATTTTTAACTGTTGATGTCTTGGATAGTGGGATTGGTAGTTTATTTGCATGTTGCACAAAATCATACTAATTAATAAATTTCTTTTGTTAGCTCTGTCATAACGATTTTTAGATAAGGGAAACTCGCTAAAACTTTTTATGATGAAATCAATGAATAATTCCTGTGCCTCAATACCCTTACTCAACAGAACAGAATATTTGCTACTTCATTTGAAAAGCTTGAACATTTTCAGTGATTTTCTACTTTTAGCGAATTTCCCATATAGGGAATAAGCTATTACCGTAGGTCTCATGGTAAGACCTAGACCCGGGACCGATTTACTTTTTCGTTTTGAGGTCCCCAGAGGCCAAAAACACCATCCGTTCAAATTCAAATATATATATATATATATATAAATTCATTATATATATATATATATATATATATTTATATATGTGTCCGTTAGCGCGATAACTTGAGCAAATATGATCCGATTTTGATGAAATTTGGTACAAACGTGTAAACTTACGTTTATTCAAACGAGTTTGCAAACCAGCATAATCGGACGATGGGAACAGGGGTTTATGGGGGGTTTTATGGGGTAAAAATGGGGTTTTCCCATTTTTAACCCTAAAAATAAAAATTTTTGCAATTTCTTTCTCAACCATTTTGTAGAGCTTAAAAAAAGAAATAATTTAGTATATTGAAGCGCTGTTTTATGCCTAACGGTCACGGAGAAAATTAAAAAAAAGTGTAATTTAAAATTCCCATGTTATTCTTATGGAGAAAATGAAAACTGTTGTAGTTTACTTGTTTATGGATGTATGTTGATAAAATTTGGCAAATTTATTTATTTCATTCTATAGTATTGACATATGGTCAAAAAACACTTTTTACCTTCCCCGTAGCAGCAAACCTAAGCACTGGTAAAATCGAATGTTATTTAAATTGGGAATAAATATGTCTTATTTATGGAAATATTTTAGTAAAAATGAAATCAGACAAGTTGAAATTCGCTTAGTCTGCAGGTTTGCTGCGGCGGGGGTATTTAATAGAACCGAAGCACTATCATGCCACTCCATGAGTACCATTTTATACCATATGGATAAAGATATTTCCAATTCAAGTTAGTTTATGTGTAGCAATTAGCTCTCATATGCATGACTAAGGGCCTGGGATTGTTTTTCGCGTTAGTTCAGACTAGACCTAGGGGTTGCGGCATTATCACTTAGATAAAAACCTAGTGGTGACTTGACGGGGATTGAACCCGGGACCTCAGGGACTGAAGTCCCGTGCTCTAACCACTACGCCAGCTCGCTCCCCCCGAGGGCTTGGTTGTTTACTAACCAGCTTCAAAGCAGAACTGTGAACTGTTGGTCCTGGTGCAGCCCTCGTCAGGAACGTCCAGTTTGAGAGGCAGCAGATCCTTCAGTCCGTACTCCGAGAACACAGGGTTCATCCTCAACTCTCCACCATAGCCGGACCTCAGGTGTCTGAAATGGTTAAATATTTCCATCAATCAAACAAGTTATTTTTCCTACAGTCACTTGAAAAAAAAAGTTCCTGCATTTATTTACTTTTGCCGCACTCTTTTTTCTGCTCTCTTTTTTTGCCGCACCCTAGTATTCCAATCAGACAACACAAAACAGCGTGCTTTTATTAGGCACGTGTAATACGTGTACGCTTGAAAATAAGCTGGCAACACTTAAAGATACTATGACTATGATCAGCTGTTACAGTGTTTCCCATTTCGATTAACACATGGATTTAACTTAACCCAAAACGTGTTGTTTGGTGTTTGAAAGACTAATTATTTCTATGCTTTACTGTAGAAAAAATATAATGTGTAACATGAGTACAAATTGCCTTTGCTGCACTCGATAAACTTTCCAGAATCGTGCGTCAACATTTCTCTCGTGTGCAGCAAGTGCCACTTTGCACACTAATTAATCACACAAATAAATATAACTACAACACGAAATTTCATAGTCCACAAATGTTTGTATGCACTCAAAATATGGTCTCATTATAACAGCTTTAACGATTTCTGAACAATAATTGTAATGAAATTATATGTGAATTTTTATGGAATAGTAGTTTTTCTAAAGTAATAGAGGAAACTGTAAAAAAAAAAATTAATTTCACAGTAACAAATCAAATGGTTTTCATATATAACATTGTGCTAAAAGAAGATACTTAAGGACCTTCCTAAAGTGCTCATATGGAGTTAGGTACACTATATGAAGGTGGATAAACTACTTGGGTAAAAAAATAGTACCGTAACAGCTTGTCCAGTTCTTAAAATTCAATGATAATCATAATTTTGAGTTTATTTAATTTTATTGTAAAATAGGTGTCAACACATTTTATAGAGATTCACAATTAGAAATCATTTTATTTTTTTACTTGCAATTTTTTTATAGAAATCCTGAAAATGATTAGTATGCAAAATTTCCAGAGTTTGGTAAAACCGGTTGGATACATTCAAAAGACTAATTGAACAGTACATGTACATTAGGGAAATATGGTATTGTGGCTACCTACCAAGAGGGCAGAAATTTTATGAAAGTACTGAAAGTATACAAACCTTCCGAACTCATCGCTGACTCCATACACAGTGTTTCCATCAATAACTCCAGTTAAGGTGTTGTATGGTGTCTTTGAACCTGTAAAAATGTTTTATTGTTTACTTAACATGCATAGCCATAAACATATAAGATATGAATAGTAGTTTGAAAAATTGACATTTTGTTAAAAAATAAGTAGTGGTTTGGGAAAGGTTTGAAAATATGTTAAATTACCTATCTATTGATTCCTAAAATGGAAAAACACTGTTGAAGTTAAGGTTCCTTAGCACACTACTAACTCATTAGATTAAATATAAGTAAAATAACAATTCTAGCATTAAAATAACATAGAGCTTAAAAGGAATTACACTAAAACTGTTATTTAAAACTTCTAAAAAACATTTCATGATTGTAATGTAATAAAGTAAAATGTCATATACTGACATTTGGGAAGTTGTTTAATGCTTGATTGATAAACACTTTAATCATTGACTATAAATTACTGAACATAAACTTCTCACCCTTGTAAAATCCAAAGCCTTGTTTTGATGTCCTGTTTGTGTCATAAATAAATTTTTCTCTTTAATTTCAAGGTTAATTTTAATGGAAGAACTTTACAGTTATGGTTGTAACATAAAAGAATAACCACTGTAGTTAACAAAAAACAAAAGTAACAACAAAGACATTGAGACATCGAAGGGTTACAAAATGCATACATTCAAAGCTGGCTACAACTGATCCACCAGACGAGTCTCTAATATTCACTATGACCAAAGATTTTGCTTGTAATCATGACACGTATGAAACTAACCCAGTCTACAAAACCAGTAGGTTCTGGCTAAAAAATTAACATACCAAGTCGACAACCAGGTCGAACAGAAGGGAATGACCTCACAAAATCCATACACTTGACTTTGTATCCCTTGAAGAAGTAGTCGTCATCAGGAATAATGATCTCCAGACAGTAGGGGTGTTTGAGGTGAGGAGGACGATCACAGCACTCTTCTGGGTCATTCTTGTTGACAGGGTCTGAGAGAAATGAATTTATAAGTAAAATAGTAAATTTGCTTATCAACAATGTATGTCACTAGAATAATAAAAGCTTTGAAAGCTACTACAAAAGATAGCTAGAACTGTCATTGTAAACCTTTTTAATATTCCTTGAAATTCACAGGTTTTTTTTACCTTTACATTTTCTTCAACTTAATCTACATATTATATATTAAAAAAAAAATTCTTATCCAAGTTCGTTTGGCTATTTTACCCGACCGATTTTCATGATTGGAGGTCTCAAATGCCATCGATTTTACATCAAGCATCAGCATTTATAAAAAATCAAGCACTACTCGACCGAAAAAATAAATTTGAATTATTTTCAAATTCTTACCTCAATTTAAGGTGCATTTCACCAGTTATAATTATACTCCTATATATCTTGGCCTAAGAACCATCAGTAAAATACCGGCTTTCATTTAAGCTATTAGTTATTTAAATTTTGAACGAGTTTCAAGCAACGAGCGAGTTGCAAGGTGAACAACCAACATAAAAATTATTTTTATAAAGTTTTTCTACGATAAAAAATAACTAGCTCCAGTATATTTTTTTCTATATGTCTTAGGCTCAAAATAATTAGTAAATTATATGCTTTAATTCGAGCTATTGATTGTTTGAATAAGTTAAGTTCAAGATACTGTATTACTCAATGAAAAATCATAAATTTGATTATTTCTCAGATATGATATTTATTTTAACGCTGCAGCACGGGTCATCTAGTATGATACAAATAAGCTTCTAAATCAGGCAAGGCATGCACAGTGCACACATACAGCACCAGAAGAAATAACACATTGGATATCACAAAAAGGGCTGACTTAACAAGTTGATAAATTAAATTGAATAATTTGATTTTTATAAACTTGTTTCTAAAATAAAATTTGTTTGCAAACGACATTAAGCAAAAAATATTTAAAAAATTTAACTGATATTGTAAGGTCAACAGTATTTTAAGTGCTAAAAATGAAACGATATTGAAGGTGAATTAATCTTTGCCTGTAAGTGACAGGGCTTGAAAGATAAAAATCTCATTAAAAACATCCTACATAAGATGTGCTTTTTATACTTCCAAAGTCAAGATTATGAAATTTATTGAATATTTGGCTGGAGCTTAAGATTAAAAATGACAAATAAAATGAATTGATAAAGTATTTTGGTAAGGAAAAATTACATTAAATCCACTAAATCATTAAACTAACTTGTTTGTATTTCAAAATGCTTAAGAAAAAATGTCTTTTACATTTTATGAATGTTTTTTAACATTTACTATACGGGAAAAGGTGTTCTTTATGTTTTTATGTTTTAATAAACACATTTTGAAAAGCAAGTTAATTTTTTCATAAACTTAGGAGTTTTTTTTTCAATAAGATATCATTGACAAATTGATCACCCTAACATCAGCGATAAAACTGTTTCATTGTATTACATGATTAGAAAATACACTAACATGTAGTAAAGTTTGTAACATATGAATGCAATAAAGGAGAATTAATTTTCTTTCTATATTTTACAACAAATAAAAAAAAAATCCATACAAGGTTTGTCCATGAGTAACCTGAGAAGAAACATATTGAATTGTCAAAAAGAAAATATAAGGTATTACCTGAACTCAATTGCTGAGTTCAAACAATAGCGAATACATCTTCAATTGAGGACGGGCTAAAAACAAAGTTAAAATCTTCTGCTTTTTATAAATCTAATAGCAGCTCATAACACTGTCTAAAGACTTGTTGTTGACTTTTTACACTCTTTGTTGATTTTGTCTCATAAACTCCTGCATCCAATCCAGTATACTTATTTACAATACGTCTACAGTAACATTTGAGGCAATTCAGAGATGGTCTCATGTAGAATTCATTGCATCCTTCGCTTTTGTTCAACATGATCACATCTAACATACCCCTTTGACTTTAGCACATTTTTATTTGACAATGATCTCCCTAAGGTATGTACCTAATGGTGTGGCAGTGAGAGTGAAGTCATGGTCCATAAACTGTCCCCAGGCCACCACCATCACAGTGCCTGCGTGGTCGTGATATCCATCGTCTGGATGCATGGTCCGGGATACTATCCGGGGCAGAGGGAGGTCATGGCCCAGCACTGAGCCGCGGGGGGCATTGAGACCATCAGCAAACTGCGGGGGCACCAGTCTACGGAGCAAAGAATAAATAGTGAATGAAAGTCCAAGGTTATTAAACAAAAGTACTGTATAGTCTTGAGTATACAACATAAACTGACTGCAAGTGGCGGATAAGCTGAAAGTTCACCTATCATATAAAATATTAAAAACTTCTTGAATAGAATTCGTCACATAGGTACTAAATTTTATATTTCTATAGAAATTTATAAATATCAGGGCTTTTGTTAAGATTGTTAATTGTTAGAGAAATAATTATCCTCTTAGCCAACAGACTTAGTTGGAACTGTGGCATTTAATTCTTTTTGTGCATGCTAGTATTGAAGGGCTAACTGGGAACAGGGAGGTATTCAAGTATAAGGATTACTAGGTACCCTGCAAGTTACAACTACCAGAATGTGCAGTAGTGCAGTCAAGTACAAAAACTTAAATCTGTTGGCACTGGAGGTCTTTTAAGTCTCGCCCTCTTTATAGTATTGAGGCAGGGTGGTGGCAAAAGGGGTTGTTTCTATGTACCCTACAGCCTACAGCTGTATAGCCATAAAGCACAGAAATAACGTTCAATTTCAATCTATATTCATCCTCCTCAGGCAGAGCCGGGCAGCCAAAGGTAGAGTAATCAAGACCCTGTGTACGTAAAAGGCAGCTATTTCCTGTAGCCTTTTTCAAATTACAAATTGTGACGACATTAAATTTACAGCCAAGCTAAAAAAACCTAATAAGAGCAGTAAGCGTATTTTAGCAACTAACCTAGTGAAGGGAGTCATGGTGGCACCCCAAGATGGATTGTTGATGTTGTTGCAAAGTCCATCCAACCGTCTGTATTTGCCTGCATGACACTCTACATTTGACAGGTAGGGAGGGCAGACCTCCTGTATCAGGGTCTTAGATGTGTCAATCTGTGGCAGTCCTGTCTCTATCTCCTCCAAACTCAGACCATACCTAGAGGCAAAGATCATGATTACACTACTACATGTTAGATGGGTAGGGAGGGCAGACCTCCTGTATCAGGGTCTTAGATGTGTCAATCTGTGGCAGTCCTGTCTCTATCTCCTCCAAACTCAGACCATACCTAGAGGCAAAGATCATGATTACACTACTACATGTTAGATGGGTAGGGAGGGCAGACCTCCTGTATCAGGGTCTTAGATGTGTCAATCTGTGGTAGTCCTGTCTCTATCTCCTCCACACTCAGACCATACCTAGAGACAAAGATCATGATTACAATACTACATGTTGGATGGGTAGGGAGGAAAGACCTCCTGCATCAAGGTCTTCGATTTGCAATCTGTGGCAGTCCTGTCTCCATCTCCTCCACACTCAGACCATACCTAAAGATAAAGACCATTTTTACTAAACATAAGACTTCTAAGGGAATCAGATTCTTAATAGGCCTATGTTTATTTACCTTTGGAGATTGACTAGGCCATTAAATCATTTAGAGAGTCAATAAAATTGTTTAAATATATTTTAAAATTGATTGATGGAGTACCCATGACTGTTAGTGATTTGTAAGCCATATTCCCATAATGTGTACGAATTGCCAAACTCCTTTGGATATAATTGTAGTGTTCAACCAACACCTACAGTTTGGAATATTCATCAATAGACATTTAGATTTTCTCTCTCCTTGTTTGGAATTAGGCTATCAGACAAAACACCAGTCATGTTACTACCAGACGCCTTTATTTGCTAGACATGTAGGCCATTGCCGCTGTTGGCACACACCTCTGTAGTTCTACAACAGTGGAGATCATTGTGTACATTCAACTCTTCGCTCCTCTCATGGTACAACAGTACATGTGTATTGCGTCCTGATTGGCCAATGACAAAGGTTCAATCAGCTGTTCGGACTTGACCAGCTGATCCAATAGCCTTGACCGTCTGCAGCGAAGAGTCTTTATTAGGCGGGAAAGTGGTGTCTAGTCTTACACGGTTCTGATTTTTGCGACTGCAATTTTTGCTAGTCATGCAATATGTGTTATTTTCTGTTGGTTTTGTGAAATTCCTAATTGAAACGGACGTGCGTTTGTCAGTCTATAAAACTGTAGATTTCTTTAATGCGTAACACGCATTCATTAGTATCGTGAGTTTCCCATAACTCATAATATTGACGTGAAATTCCCACATCTGTATATTCAGACTAGAGTAGGCTATCTGTCTTCAAAGTTTATACTGCCATCCGATGTAATACTAAAATATCCAATCTCGCGACTGTTTGTAATGCCGAAATACACAATCCTGTAAAGCACAATTAAAAAATAACTAGTTGTAAATGCAGCCTGGTGTAATATTGCAGTTCACTGTAGGCGTAATGTGTTGCAAAAATACATATGATCTTGAAGCTAGACAACTTTGTAGAAGTAATACCGTTTTTACAAAACTGGAGATTTTTTTTCCTAAGGGCGCTAGGCACGAGCCTGGGATTGCTTTTCACATTACTTCAGGCTAGACCTAGGGGTTGCGGCATTATCACTTAGATGAAATCCATTGGTGACTTGGTGGGGATCGAACCCGGGACCTCAGGGACTGGAGTCCCGCGCTCTAACCACTACGCCAGCTCGCTCCCCAAAACTGGAGATACTTTATAGTTCCAAATTAGTGTAAAACAGTAAGACAATTCTGTAGTGGCATCTCCAGTAGTAACTCTGGAAGTCTGCAATTACGAAACGATTAGCAAAAACGCATCTTCTTTATCTGTTCCGCTCTTTTATCCCGGAAAGAGGAGCGGCGTCTTCCAGCCAAAAAGTACAATCTTATGTTGTGGGAGAAACCATTTCCCTTTCAACGTTAGGCAAAAACCTGTTCCCCTTGAGTGATCGACAAAAAGACGGACATTGAGGTCACTTTCCCGTCGCGTCATTGTCAGCCTCAGATCATCCGTCGGGCAAAGGAGGTTTGGCTGAGAAATAGCTATGACTTTGGATACTGAAACTGAAGAAAACGTTGCACATGAGAACCAGTTGTCAACCATATCTATATCAATACAACATTGAATAAGTCTCGCTTTAGAGTAGAGTGTGCAACTGACCAAACTAATTTCCCCCCTAAGTTTCTGCCACCGTGATAGGCAATGTGACATAAAAGATGCTACAAGTTGCTAATGTCACCTAAATCCGAAACGATCTCTACGCTATTACACAGTTGTAAGGAGGATGGCCGTTGCGGAGGTTATCCATGAATGAAAAATGAAAGTGAGACGTGTCGAGGGTCTTGAACTTGTATCATCCCCGGAATGTCCCAGCCACTTTATGTTTCTAGTCCACCCATTCACCTTGACCCACTGCAGGCGATCAAGGGATTCACCTTTCACCCTAATGATGTTATGGTTTTTGTATTATGTGAGGACAGATGCTATTGGGTGTTGTCGGGAATTTACTTCTGTTCATCGCAAACTGTAATTTAAAAGTGTGTGGTTGGTTGATTAGATTTTCTAAAAATTCGTTATTTCGGATCCAATATTTGTCATTAGTTATGGATTCTAAATTTATAGGTATTATTTTTTAAATACTTATATTTCGTATGCTAAAGGCCTATTTGAAATTGAAGACAACAAGCTCTTAACATTAATCAAAGTTATTTTTTGTTGATTGGTGATTGGTAGTAACTAATCGGTTTTAATCTAATTCTTAAAAATTTTATGTAGGCCCTACTAGAGGTAATAACTGTAAATTAATAATTAAATTGATGCTTTGGAACGATATAGCAATGTCTTTGGCAATTTTTTCTTGGCCTAAATGAAGTAAAAATTCTAGAAAAATGGTACAAAAGCTCCCAGATCTACTTTTTGTTCTACCACGTAACTATTTCACCTGTTTATATTTTTGTTCTTTCACATTGGCATTGAACATAATATAATGCCTAACAAAAGTCGTTTTGTAAAAAAAAACATCCAATCTTCAAAACTTGATTTAAAACTGAGATGTTACGAGCTACAAATTGTGAAAACCATAAACAATATATTATAATATCTTCAAGAAGAACTGGTAATATTGGAATTAATATAAATTTGAAATAAAAAATCACCAATATTTTTAGAATTTTTAATTTCGTCAGGCCTTTCGCCAGGTATGCTGGTGGCATCATCAGACACATCACGTTTGTGATGTGTCTGATGATGCCACCAGCATAGCTGGCGAAAGGCCTCATGAAATTAAAATTGTATGGTAAGTTTTTATTTCAAATTTACATAATAATATGTTGCATTGTTTAATCATTTAATAGAAATTTTGATGATAACATAGTAGTTAGCAGAAATTAAGCCACGAGAAAAGAAAGAAAATAATTAAACTAGGTCTTTCCAACGTTGACTGCTGTCAGTGCAAGAAGATAAACTATATATATATTTTTTTTCTTTAGCTAGATTTTAATAAAAAGTGTCTACGCAACTCTTCCCAATACCACATTTCTACTCAAGAAAGCCTTCCAGGTGGTTCTATAGTTAATACATATATAATTTTTATTGGCAAAACATAGCAGCACACATAAATACTCAAGCGAAAACCGGAAGCAGACATACATAGACGCAGTGACAGATTTAAACAGAATTGTAGACAAACGGACAATCCATTCCAACTGCCCTTATAAGGTGCAGAAGTAGGCCTACAATAGACTACGATTATCTATAAGAGCTGGAGACTTGAATGCGGGGACGCACCGGTCGCGGCCGAGTCAAAGCTGCCAGTAACGTATAGAGATATGCAGACTACCTCGTTGGGACGATTACGATCAACCGTAAGAGAAGTATAATGGCCTTCATTTTTAAGCGAATTGATTTCCAATGGTACAAGGCCAGCCATTAATTGACTGAGCTAATTTATTTTAATGTACTAATTTTTTGAGAGGTAATGTACAAATAAAACAGTAAATTCTACAAAGAAACTCTTGCACAATAATATAGTTTCAGATTACTCACGAATGATCAGAAAAAAGATAAGATCTAAATCAATAGCGACCTAAGAGATCTTATTACTTGTAGAACAACAACAAACGAAATGTAAATGGCAGAACAGTAAATGCGTACTTCGTACTAGAATGTATAGCACTAATCCAAAGAAAAATATAAATAAATCTAATTCAGATGTAAGTAAGCTACTTAAAATTGCAAACAATTTCCAAAGCTAAAAAACCTCTTCAGTAAGTAATTTGAAGATTAATCTATTTTTTAAGTGTCCTTTCATCAAACCAATCAATTGTTCCAAATAAAAATCACTTTTTGAAGTACCAAGGAAAGTGCGAATGATATCCTTCGCATTACGATGTAAAATGAGTGCTACTTTAATTGAATTGTGTGGCATATCCTATTTTAAAGATTCGAAAAAGCGATCTTGTAACATTGAGTGATCGCAACAAACTAGGGCCAAAGTAGAGTGATCTATGAGGCAGAACCAACGCGGCTAGTTAGAGAGATAAATCACAGGAGTGTTTGTTTGGGCTGTTGATGAAGACCGTCAATCACTCCGGAGTGTCGAAACTTGAACAAGGAGACTGACATGTCGGAATGCCCTCAAGGTTAGAAGCTTATAAAGGTATAGGTTCAGCGGTTACCTCCCGCTATCTCTCCACGTCCCGCCACCTCCGTGTACCGCTACCTCCGAATTTCAGAGTGACCCCTATAATCCTCGGTTACTTCCTGCGTTAAGGCTTTCCGTCCTAACCTAACCTAACCTAACATAACCTAATCTAACCTAACCTAACCTAACCTAACCTAACCTAACCTGACCTAACCTAACCTAACCCACGGGTTAAATTTTCATTAAACCTTCCATCCACGGGGCTTCGCAGCCGTGGATGCAATGACAGCTAACAACGCAGGCAGTGACGGGATTATAAGGGTCACTCAAGGCTTCGGAGGTGGCGGGACAGATTTGGGTTCGGAGGTGGTGGAACGCGGACATAGTGGGAGCACACGGGTTCAGCACCTAGATTATACGAAATAGAACGTAAACGTAGAATGAATAATTGACACGAGACCTGAAGTACAACCGTGAAAACTGATAGTGTGAGTTTACTTTCCATTATCGTAGTCCGTAGGTTAGGTCCGTTTGAAATCATTTAGTCAAGTTCAGCATT